GCTCATTTGATGAATGTTTTAACCAAAGATGTAAGTGCAACCCCAGGGATAAAGGAAAATGTTGAAATTGTTATGGCAGCATTTTGCCATCACTTTGCTTCAGCTTCACTGAAGAGAGCAGGAGGATCCAGACTAATTCTTCCTCAAGATGTACAATGGAATTCAGCAGTTGACTGGCCTGATCTGATAAAATACAAGCAGTCCTCAGACTTACAACACAATTGGTTCCTGAAAATTGCATTGTAAGTCGTAACTGAGAACCACAATCCACTCCATTGTGGGACCAAGCATTGTAAAGTCTAAACCAACTGTCATAAGTCAAATCAGTGTGTCAATTCAGAAATGTCGTAAGTCAAACATCGTAAAATCAAGGACAGCCTGTAGATGGAACTATCGTAGCCAAAGCAGACACACCGACTTTCTGGTTTCCCTGGGGGTGCTCGACCCCTGCTTCACTCCCTGCCTCTTCCCATACCTGCTCCGTCCCCTCCCCGCCCAGGCCTCCTACACGCCACTGAACAGCTGATTACTGGTGGGTAGGAGGTGCTAGGAGGAAGAACTGATCAACAGGGCTGCCAGTGGGTGCCAAGCACCCACTATTTTCTTTCCCCCCCCATGGGTGCTCAAGCCACGGAGTCTGCTTATGAGCCAAAGTATTCAATATTGGACTAAAGAGAAACATAGAAGATATGCTAAATATAATGGAACCTCCTTTTTATAGCCTTGGACAAACTTTGGGGAGATTGCTACTGTATTGTTGAAGCTGTTTAAATCTGGAAAGCACTTCAAGAGACACTGAAGAAAGAATGCTTTCCTGCCTACAAAGTTAAATTTGTACACAGGAAAAGCCCCAGGAACTTTTGAATTTAATTTCCTGTTTGGTCAGCATGGCAAGCTCAGCAGCACAGGTGACCATGCAGTCCCCCCCAGAATTGCAAACAAGCTCCAGCCTGGAACAAACGGGAGAGACTGGATCTGACTGCTGTACGGGGAGAAGAATCTGTGCAGGCAGAACTCTGATCAAGAAGAAGAAATGCTAATATATGTCAATCTCACAGGGCATGGTGGAGAGAGGCTACACCAGGGACACACAGCAGTGCCGCGTGAAAGTCAAGGAGCTCAGGCAAGCCTACCAAAAGATAAAGGAGGCAAATGGTCATTCTGGGTCAGAGCCCCACACATGCCACTTCTATGATCAGCTGCAAGGCATTCTGGGGGGGACCCTACCACTACCCCACCACTGTCCATGGACACCAGCAAGGGGGGAGTCTCCTGCAACATGGAGGAGGATTCTGTGGATGAGGAGGAGGAGAATGCACAGCAGGCAAGCAGTGAAGCAGTTCTCCCCGGCAGCCAGGACCTTTTCATCACCCTGGAGCCAATACACTCCCAAGGCAGGATCCCCAACCCTGAAGGCAGAGAAGACACCTCTAGTGAGTGCATATTTGTAACTACAGTACAGGGTTTAAAAGCAACAGAGTTTAATGTTCGGGGGGGAGGGACAGCACAGTGGTTTCAGCATTAGCCTGCTAAACCCAGGGTTGTGAGTTCAATCCTTGAGGGTCCCATTTAGGGATCTGGGGCAAACACTGGAAACTGGCCCTGCTTTGAGCAGGGGGTTGGACGAGATGACCTCCTAAGGTCCCTTCCAACCCTGATATTTTATGACTTGCCCTGAAGACTTAGGATGCATTCATGGTCAGTACAGCTACTGGAAAAGTCTGGGGATGGAGCGGGAATCCACCAGGGACATCTCCGTGAAGCTCTACTGCAAAAGCCTTTGCAGAAGGTTTCTGGGGAGGGCTGCCTTATTTCATTCTCCACTTTACAATGCCTAGCAAGTAGTCTGGAATCATTGCAGCACAAAGCATAGCAGCAAATGGTCCTAGGTTTTGGTTGCATTCAAGCAACATTTGATCTTTATCTTTCTGTGTTAGCCTCAGGAGAGTGATACCATTCATAGTTACCTGCTTGAAATAGGGGAACTTTTGCAAGGGAACAGTAAAAGGACCCCATTCATGCTGGGCTGTTTGCTTGGCTAAAAGGGATCATCCCATAGCCATGTAGCAGGGAGAGGGGTGAAGGGATTATCCCAAATAGCCATGCAGACTGGGGGTGGGAGGTGTGTGCTGCACATCCACCTGAAAACCACAGCCTCTCCTTTTAAATGGCAAACCCAACCAGCATTGCTTACTATAGGAAAGAAGGACGGTGCAGTTTGAAAACATTCCCACCTGTTATGAAGGCGTTAGAAGCCAAACCAGCGTACCCTTTGGCTCACCATGGCTGCTTGGAAACTGAATTCTGTTGCCCAGCCGTGTGTGATGTCACCATACCAGCAGGCGCTCAATATAAAAGGCAAAATGCGATCTTGTACCTAAAGCACATGTGCTGTCCCCTGTGAATTGCTTGATTCACTGAAAGTCTCCCTTTTGTTCTCAAATGTATCATCTTAAATTTTACTCCCCTTTTTTTATCCCCCTGCAGGTGCAAATGTTTCTATACTCCCCTATCCTCTCTGTCCCTGAGGTTATTGCAGATTAGAAGGCCAAAAAAAAAAAAAAGCACTCACGATGACATGTTTTCTGAGCTCATGCAGTCCTCCTCCACTGATAGGGCATAGCTGAATGCCAAAAACATCTTCCCCCTTACTCTCTCTCATTATGGAGCAAGCAGTAATAATAATGGGAATATTGGTTGTGCTGAAGTCTAACCTAGTCAGCAAACAGCGCAAGCGAGCTTTTAAACATCCAAATGCACATTCTATCACCCTTCTGCACTTGCTCAGCATATAGTTCAACTGCTCCTTACTGCTGTCCAGGGTGCCTGTATAAGGCTTCATGAGTCATGGGAGCAAGGGGTAGGCTGGGTCCCCAAGGATAACTACTGGCATTTCAACATCCCCAACAGTAATTTTCTAGTCGGGGAAGTAAGTCCCTTCTTGCAGCTGCTCAAACAGCCCAGAGTTCCTAAAGATGTGAGCATCATGCACCTTTCCTAGCCATCCCATGTTGATGGTGGTGAAACATCCCTTGTGATCCACCAGTGCTTGCAGCACCATTGAGAAGTACCCCTTGCGGTTTATATACTAGTTGGCAAGGTGGTCCAGTGCCAAGATAGGGATGTGTGTTCCGTCTATCACCCCACCACAGTTAAGGAAACCCATTGCAGCAAAGCCATCCACTATGACCTGCACACTTCCCAGAGTCACTACCCTTGATACAGAACACCAATGATTGCATTGGCTACTTGAAACACAGCAATCCCCACAGTAGATTTGCCACTCCAAATTGATTCCCAACTGACCGGTAGCAGTCAGGTGTTGCAAGGTTCCACAGGGCTATCACCACTCGCTTCTCAACTGTCAGGGCAGCTCTCATCTTGATATTCCTGCGCTTCAGGGCAGGGGAAAGCAACTCACAGAGTTCCAGGAAAGTAGCTTTACACATGCAAAAGTTTCACAGCCACTGGAAATCATCCCATACCCACAAGACTATGCGGTCCCACCCATCTGTGCTTATTTGCGGGTCCCAGAATCAGCATTCCACTATATCTACCAGCCCCACTGCCACCAGGATGACCCAGTTGCCCCATCCTATGCTTTCAGGAACATCTGTGTCCATGTCCTCCTCACAATCTTCCTCGTGCTGCAGTCTCTTAGCCAGGTACTGCACATACTGCAGTATAATGCATGAGGTGTTTACAATGCTCGCAACAGCAGCGGTGAGCTGAGCGGGCTCCATGCTATGGCATCTGCACAGAGAAGCCAGGAAAAAAGGCACAAAATGAGAGTCTGCAGTTGCTTTCACGGAGGGAGGAAGGGAGGGGAGACTGCCAAAACCACCCATGACAATGTTTTTGCCCCATCAGGCATTGGGAGCTTAACCCAAAATTCCAATGGGAAGTAGAGACTGGGGGGAACCGTGGGATAGCTTCCCACAGTGCAACGCTCTGTGAGTCGATGCTAGCCATGGTATTGAGGACGCACTCCACCAACTTAATGCGCTTAGTGGGGACATACACAATAGACTGTATAAAATAGATTTCTAAAAATTGACTTCTATAAGATCAATCTAATTTCATAGTGTAGACAAACCCTTACTATTCTAGTCTATGATAAAAACACGGACAGAGAGAATGAAATCTACTAGTTTTTAAAGTTTGAAGGACAGCTTAATAGTTTAGCAGACTGTCTCATTTGCAAGATTTAGGCCAGGATCTACATTCACAAGTTAAATCAACCCAGCTATGTTGCTCAGAAGTTGAAAAATACACAACATAGTTAAACTGATCTCACTTCTGGTGTAGATAGCATTAGGTTGACAAAATTCTTCTGCTGACCTACCCATTACCTCTCGGAGAGGTAGATTAGCTACTGATGGGAGAACTCCTCCCATTGCTGTAGTGAATGTCTACACTGAAGCAAGAAGTACTGCAGTGGCATAGACAAGCCCTTAGGCAAGTGCAAACTTAAATGCCAGTCACTTTCACTTTGGCATATTTGAAAATTTTCCCAGGCTAACCTGAAATAATCCTTCTGACTACAGTTAATCCCTCTGTTTAATAAATCTTTTACCTGTAAATATGAAACATGTCTTGATAAGAGAACTTTATCCAAAACATTTAAGGTTGCTTTTTTTTAAATGAACGTGAGTTTTACATGCTGTTTTGTGTATTTAATTAAATTCAGTTACCACCCTAATGCAGCTTGACACAACTCCTGAGCAAAAAGTTAATTATCTAGTAAATAAGCAATATCCTTTACCATTCTCTAACATACTAAAAAAATACAATTAATAACAACCTGCAACTATTAAGCTCTACAATTAAATAAATGCATCAAGTGTACCCTTCTAGCTAACAAAACGACATTCCAGATCCCGTGTAAAGGCGCTATTGAGGTGTAAATCAATACATTTTCATGGTTCTATCAGCTAATGAGAATACACTTTAAAGATCCGAAATATAAACGGAAAAGTTGATTAAAATTGATTATTTACATCGAGGCTTTTCCGCGGGGTGACAGAACTCGCAGGCTTCACTGGAGCCGCCCTGACACGGTGCACAGAGCGCGGCGCCTGCCCTGACTTTCAACCCACAGACTAATAACGAACAATCCACACAGGGCGACACCGGGCCGCTGTTTTCTCCCACGGGTGCTAGAGCGCCCAGCGCCCTGCGGCGACAGGACAAGCTGGCCCCGCCCGCGAGACAGACGATGGACGGAGACTAGCACCCCCACCCGCCACGTCACGTGGCCCTCCTAAGCCCACTTCCCGGGCTGTCTGTCCATGTGCCTGTTTGCAATCGATGGCGCGCCCCCCCCCCCGTCGGGCGCTGCAGGGCCAGTATGTCACACAGTGAATTCCTAGCTGCTAGTGTTGTCCTGCCCCTACCCCCCGCCCTCGATTGCTTTATAGTCAGGCAGTGCGCGGGCAGCCCCTGAGGTCCCCCGTTAAGAGAGCCCGGGAGGCGCCGCCTCCTTCCTTTCGGCCTGAGCCGCCATTTTGTAGGTATGTGTGAGAAGTAGTGCTCTTGTCACGCTGCGATAACAGCGGGTAGGGAACTCCGCGGCTGCGGTACCGCTGGGTGGCGGGGAGGGCAGCGGATGGGGGCCGGGCTGGGCCTGGAAGGCGGCAGCAGGGCGGGGAGGGTGGCTGCATGGGCCCGGGAGGCCGCTCCACGTGCCAGCCCGAGCCGGGACAGAGAAGGGAGGCGGCTGCACAGGCCCAGGGGCGAGTTGGCGGGGGACCGGGGAGGCCGCTGCACAGGCCTGAAAGGGGCCCGGGGGTGGCTGCACGGGTTGGTGTGGGGGAGCTGCCTGCGGGGCGGGGCTGGGGCCAGGGAGCGAGCCCTGCCTCCTCCAGCGGCCGCTGTTCAGCCGCCCCGTTCTCGTGCAGGGGGCGCGCAGGTCTCCTGCCTGTGTCCTAGTAGGTCTGCCAAGGGGCCACGTACCTGTACGTCCACTTCATTCAACTGTTAGTGTGACGCCAGGGCAAGCTGCCTGTCTGCACGGGGTGAAGTGTCTCTAAATGATCGGATAGCGAATATATCTCCCTCTGCCACCGTTGTGCTTAGTTTACAATATTTTTTTTTACCTAGTTCATCTAGACAAAGCTGTCGCTTTTTTCCCCTAGTAACTTTTATAAAGCTCTTATCGGAAGTATTGAGCAACACGCAGGATTTTGTCAGAGGTTTCAGTAATTTGGAATATAATCTGAAAACAATGGGATGATTTAGTCGGGGATCGATCCTGCTTTGAGTAGGGGGTTGGATGGACTAGATGACCTCCTGAGGTCCCTTCCAACCCTGATATTCTATGAACAACACTAGATCTAAGCATGCTGCAAGACCTGAATAGCTCTGGGTGGCAAATACATGAGGATAATCTGAGTTGTCTTTTTTTAATAGCTGTTTGCCAAAATGACAAACACAAAGGGGAAAAGGAGAGGGACACGTTATATGTTCTCGAGGCCATTTCGCAAACATGGTAAGTATAGCTTGTGTTAGGGATACCTGCATTCATAGCAATAATGAGTTTAGCCAATTCTAAAAAGACATTCAAGCATTGTGTTAACCATTTCTCATCAACATTGTACTAAGAATGTATTTAAGGACAACTAAAAATGCAGAACAAAATACTGTCATAGCCACTGCTTTTATTGGATAAACTTTTTTTCCCTATGGGGTAGCTGCCTTTTTATCTTGTACTTCAAATTTTGATTACCTTATCTTTTGACTGCTTGAAAATAGGTTACAGTACTTGTCATTTTTAGTAAAGATAGGATAAGAACTGCTTTGAAGGGGGAAGTGAGTTATAAGTATTGGGAGTACTGGCTTAAAACTATATAATTAAATCGACAAGTTCAAACTGCTCTTACCAAAAGGCAATGGCAACACCAATTACCCAGCTAACAATGGGGGAATCTTACTGTGTAATATCTTGTAACTTCTACACTGATCAGGTTAAAACCAAACTTGAATTAGCTGTAGTGTCTTAAAGTGCACTTTTTTAAATGTGAAAAGATGGCTGGCTTTTCCATTTCTAGTCACCTAAGCTTTTTCAGATGAGTTTGAGAAATACCACTTTTTAGTAAAAATGAATCTCTTATGAAACAACTTTGTATTTTCCTCCTCCCAGGAGTTGTCCCTCTGGCCACCTATATGCGAATCTACAAGAAGGGTGATATTGTGGACATCAAGGTATCTAATAGTATAATTCAAAGATGAAATAAGAGTCTATAACAAATTCAGTGCCAGAACAGTAATGTAGTATATATTTTAAAAACATGGCTGAGAATGTAAACATTAATTAAGGGACTGTTTTGGTTGCTGTAGCAGCTGTCTCTTCCATTTTGCATGTTCATTGGGAATTGATGTCTGGAAGCTGGACATCTTCAGGAGAAGACTTTACTCTTTTGTACAGTGTCTGACACAATGGACCCAGGTTAATGTTTGCAGGCTCCCCTGGATGTTATTGATATACAAATAGCAATAATAACTCAGTCTGCATCTCTCTATTGGCCTAACAGAGCCAAAATTTTACTTCTAGGGTATTGTGCAAAGCAGATCTGTTTTAGCTCCTACCTACAATCCTAGATACAGGTAGAGTTGCTTGGGGAGTCTATATATTAAAAGTATATGCACAGAGATGGAAGCAGTGAATGTTTTAAAATCTGGGAAATAAACTAAGGGATGTACTTGATTGCATATATAATAAGTGCAGTGTGACTTTCAGTTCTGAACTTGTGCTCCAAAAGTCAACCGTAGTGTTAATTTAAATTATCATTTGCATTGGATATTGAATTTCTCCATAGAAGAATTCTACTTTTATCTTCCAGTATACAAACTTTTGAGAAGACTTGCCTTTTTGAGAAAGCTAAGGATGCAAAGTCTAAGCTTCTTGACATTCTGGAGCTTGATGATGACTGTCTCATGCGATTGCTTTGATAATAACAAAATGAGCAAATCATTTCACCGGCACTGAAAGCAAGCCAGGATTGTCAGAGAAGTTTAATAGATTTCAGATATCTTGTGATGATTTCAGTAGCTCAAAGCAAACTTGTAAACATCTACCAAGAGATCCATAAAATTAAGAATGTCAGATTTATACTCTATTCTCCACATTAAAGCTGAGAGTAGAATGGCTTCACTTTATTTTAATGGTCTTACTCTTGTATGTTTTTAACAGGGCATGGGTACTGTTCAACAAGGTATGCCCCACAAGTGTTACCATGGCAAGACTGGAAGGGTATTTAACATTACTCAGCATGCTGTTGGCATTATTGTAAACAAACAGGTTAAGTAAGTGTTTTTTAAACTTTCCTCTGGGTGAAACTTGATTTTAAAAATAAACTGTAGTGACACCCCCTCTTTCACTTTGCCAAGTAGACATTTCTTGTCATCTTGGTCATTCAGTTGGGGTAAAATAAGTCCTTTTAAAACCCAAGCAAGCAAACAATGATTGTTTGGCTTGGATCCTGTCAGGGGAAACACTGGACTGTTAAACAAGATTATGAAGAGTTCAGCAAGCTAGCATATTTATACTAAATTCGTTTTAAAGGTCATTATGTTTTCTTAATTTTATTCAACTGGGCATAATATAGTATAGTCACTAAAATAAGGTACAGCGCTTACTTATCCCTGGACCAACTGACTGTGTGGATTGACCTACAACAGTGGTAGATGATACAACTGTTTGTCCCTGTATTACAGAGGAGAGAATCATTAATCTTCAAGAGTATTAGTCTTGAGGTATTAGAACATGGTTAAGAGTTATTTCTTCATGTTAAGTATCCTCACACCTTGTCAACTGTCTAATTGGGCCATCTTGATTATCACTACAAAAGTTTTTTTTGTTCCTGAAAATAGCTCATCTTAGCCTCTTCCTCCACCTTTTCATATTTTTGTGTGTATGTATCTGTTCCATTCTATGCATCCAATGAAGTGGGCCGTAGCCTACGAAAGCTTATGCTCAAATAAATTAAGTCTAAGGTGCCACAAGTACTCCTGTTTTTGTGGATACAGACTAACATGGCTGCTACTGACACCCTGTTGTAGAAACTGATAAAAATCTGAGTACAGTTCCGTGTGTTTTGAGCAACAGCCCTTTTAAGAAAAATGCTATGTAGTCATGCTTCTGGGACTTTTTAAAATGAGCTTCAGTATTTGTCTTACACTTTTTATAATTACAATAGATTCAAAATAGGCTTCTTCCCTCAGGGGCAAGATTCTCGCCAAGAGAATTAATGTGCGTATTGAGCATATTAAGCATTCTAAGAGCAGAGACAGCTTCCTGCAGCGTGTGACAGAAAATGAAAGGAAGAAAAGGAAGCGAAGGAAAAAGGCACTTGGTTTGAACTGAAACGCCAGGTATTGTTTGTTAACTGAACTAATACACCTATGACATTTGACTCAAACTGCCTTACCATGTAAATGAGCGTTGTTGTTCCTCGGACACTAGTGAAGGAGGGGGACAAGCTACTAATGGTTTCTGTGCCTATACTAGACAGGCTTAAGTGGGAGAAATAGAGAAGATAAACACTGATTTGTTTAAGGTAGATCTATACTGGAAAAAATTAGGTTAACCCAGCTGCATTGCTCTGAGGCAATGGTCCCCAACCTCTCTGTTGCAATAGCATATTCATGTTCCCAGAAGAGTGTGGCGGGCACTAGACTACCACCTGCCGAAATGCCGCCAAGAAGCAGCGGCATTCTGATGGCAGGTTGTCCAGTGGAAGCGCTTCCTTGTCAGCAGGTGGGCACACAAATGCCCCAGCAGGCACCATGGTGCCCATGGGCAGTGTTGGACCACTGCTCTGAGATATGAAAAATCCATAACCCCCTGAATGATGTAGTTAAGGTGACCTAATGCCCAGTAGGTTGACAAAATAATTGTTGACTTGACTACTCCCTCTCACTACAAGGGGGGGAGCCCCTTCTATAACTACTCAGTAGCACTGAAAATATTTTCATTAAAGCAGTCAGATTAGAAATACATTTAGCTTAATAGAATCATATGAAAAGAAACTTTACATTACACATGATAGAATTGGTTTACACATTGCTAATGTAACTGCAAACTAAACATTTTAAAAAATTTAAATCAGGTTTACTTTGAGTGTGTCATATTAATGGTTATTGCTTTTTTTGCTTACAGCCTGCTCCACCCAGGGAAGCACACTTTGTGAGAACCAGTGGCAAAGAGCCAGAGCTGCTGGAGCCAATTCCCTATGAATTCATGGCATAGGGAAACTTAAAAAAAATAAAGCTGTCTCTAAGACAAAATGTGAGTGATGGTTGATTGCTTCCAGAACACATGCTTTGGATGATCTTCCTTCATTAAATTATACTTTTTGGATTATAGATCAGTTTTGGGTAATGAAGGAAAAATTCTGTATATCACTTGTACTGTTAAACAGGTGTACCTTAACCATTATGCTTTGTATATGCCAATGATTAAGGTTAAGATTGTCACAGGTATTAATAAGTTGGGTTGCAAGCACACAAATTCCTGGAAACCTATGACATGTCTGACTTTTACTAAATACACAAGGGGGGGGGGAAATCAGGGGCCTGTTAGTCTGAATTAGTGACCACTGTATCCTTACCAAGGATTATTCACCTTTGATGGCACTCATGTTGCCTTATTAGGCACTGTCAAACAGCAAGTAGTATTTAATGTCATACTACAATCTTTAGCTGTTTACTTGATTATCATTAGGTGTTTACTAGCTTATTTACTTGATTGTTATCTTAAAGTGACTCAGCTGTATGAGTTGATAGAAGCCAGTTTAGGTGTAGTTAGCTGACTGTTATGGACATCTTAATCTATTGAGTTGTATGTAAACTGTTAAGTGTTTCAACATTAATTGTCAGAACAAGGTTTGTAAAACAAAGCTGTATGCATACACGAAAGGTGAGATGCTCTCCAAGAGCAGATCCCTCCTGTAAGCCTTAAGTTCTGTGAGGTCTGCCTTTGCTCAAACTTAGGTGTTCCAGAGTCCTTGCTTTAGTGGCTTTCACAATGTTCTCAAGGAAGATAGTATGTGGTATTCAGATATAAGGCATAGGAATAGAATTTCCTTCCTGTGCTAGTCAGATCCACAGCACTGAAGATTCCTATATACATAAGGTCCCCAGAAGCTAGTGAAATTAAAATGAAGTTTGTATAGGAAATAGGCCTTGCACCAAAAAAAATCTTCCAAAATAACCAGCCTCCAATTTTTACCTGCAAGCCAGCTTTCAATTTATATCTAAAATCAGCTACCTTATACTCCTTTTCCTTGTGCGCTTACATACCTTACAAGTGTGATAACAGTTCTACTACTACTTGCAGCCTAATTCACCCATTAGGGAAGCTTCCCTTGAGTCAAATACTTGTACTCTTAAGGTCTGGTCTACACCTAAATTACATTGATCTAGCTATATCATTTAGCAGTGAAAGATTTCATGCTGTGTGAGGTAGTTAGATCAGCTGGTCAGACTAACCACTTGTGTTTAGACAGTTGGGTTGATGGAAGAATTCTTTATGTAGTTAGAGAAGTGGATTAATTACTTTGATAGCATCTACCCTCTAGTGCTACACCTGCAGTGCCACAGCTGTGCTACTGAGTAGACACCTTAAATACAACTAAAAATAGCACCTTTAGCCATCTGCTTCTTGTGGGATCAGCACTGACATTAAATCTATATTGCTTCAAGGGAAGTGCTGGAGGAATTCTATCCTGATGCTCTCTAGTTCAGGCAATATACCCCAACCCCTCCAGGGGCAGTAGTGTATATCCTTGTGGGGTAAATGGTGATGGCCCTGCTTTCTTCCACACCATCTTCAGGATTTGCACTGTAGGAGTTGCACAGAGGAATCACAATTGTACAACTAGTGCCATATCATCCCCCCTCTGAAGCAGTGCTTAACAGGCAAAATGTTAGAAAAACAGGAAGTTTCTGAAGAATTGAATTGGCCTCTGGAACAGCTCACCTTCAATCCTTTTGTTCCCACACCCAAATTTCATCTGCTTGCATCCTTCCATATCTTGTCAGTGCCTTTACCCACACCACTCACAGCCTTGCTTCACCTATTCATACAGTACTCTTCCTCAGGCCTCCACCAGCTCAGCTTCTGCCTTTGTTTCACTTTGTTCAAATTCCCATTTCTATCCACCATTGTTCTTTTATCCTTACTCCTCCATTTCTACTGCTCATCCACCATTGCCCCCAACCCATCTGCCCTCTTACTTATTCTTCCTATCCATGCACCCTTTCCTCTCTGTCATTCTTCTTTTCCTCTGCCACATGTCTCCATCCACTGAGTACAAGTCACTTGGCTCAAAATACAGTGATAGACCTAGTGCAGCAGTTCTCAAACTGGGTCCAGACCCCATTTTAATGGGGTCACCAGGGCTGGCTTAGATGTGCTGTAGCCTAGGGCCAAAGCTTGAGGGTTTCAGCCCTGCATGTTGGGACTCAGGTTACAGGCCTGCTGCCTGGGGCTGAAGCCCTTAGGCTTCAGCTTTATCCCCACCTCTGGTTCAGGGGGCTTAGGCTTCAGTCCCCCATTCTGGGGTATGTAATAATTTTTATTGTCAGAAGGGGATTACAGTGCAATGAAGTTTGAGAACCCCTGTCCCAGTGTATTCTACAATTGTGAATCGCATATGTTAATTCTGTCCAGTCCCCCCACCCACTACACACACCCAGCGGTTACAGATTTCAAAGCTCAAGGCTGACAAGGGCTTCTTTTAAGTCATACTTCTACTTTCTGGTCTCTACTTATCTGGATACATTACCTCACTTCCAATTAAAAAAAAGCATGATTCACATTTGCACTGGTGGATATACACAAATCTTAAAATATCAATGCATGCCAGCATAAGTAAAGTGTTTTGATTACATTTGTAACTATAAAAAGTCACTTCCAAGCCAGAGGAGTATGACTTGATTATATTGGTCTGCATGTGTCAGTACCTGTAATATTCACTGGCCTAGTTTCTCCCCTGCTTTGTACCTATAGCATTAAAAAAAAAAGACAGGTAAATAAGTAGAATTTGGTCCATTAAAGGAAAGGCTGATCATTGACCTTTCTTTGTAATTAGGATATATATATATTTCAAATTTTATTTGTCAGCTAAAAATCAAGACAGTATTGTTCCAAAGTTATTTAGGTGTCAAAGACCATAGAAAAGTACTAGTACTCCATTTGAAAGAATGAACAAAATATACACATACCTTTAAGCTTTTGCTAGTAGGTTACATAGCTTTAGCAGTATAATGGACAACTTGTTAGCCAAATATTAACCTATAAAGTATATTTATCAATCATATGCCTATGTAGTTTTCTCTGTGATAGTGCTGCTCCCTAACTCTAATAGGACTAACCAAACCTACAGATCTGAACATCCCCAACCCAGGAAGTTTGGCTATTACCCAAGCTGCAGTGGTCAGAAGATTGTGTTTTCTACATGTGCCAAATTTCTATGTATGATCAAGTTGATCATCCTTTTCCACCATATGTCCTTCAGTCTTGTGAGATATATCCTAGTATTGCAACAGAACCGGCTTATTGTACCTGTGGTACTAGTAGTAGTTAGCTTTCCAGACCAATGCCAAGTCCAGTTTGCCTCTGATGGGTCCCATAAGCATCATATCCTTCAGTAAATGAAACAGACAAAATAAAATAAAAATCAGTAAGGTGGGGTAAAGCCCTTCTTTTTTTATAAAAAAAGTGCAGATCACATGTCTCCCTTCCCATTCTCATTTGCACATTTCCATCATCTCCTTTTGGGGACCAAATAGTCCCAAGGCAACTGCAGTGATTGCATTTAAAAAAAAAAAACACACAACTGCTAAATACTACGTGAAATACTTTCCTAATTTACTTTTCCATTTAAGCAGTTTAATAGATGGAGACAAGGAAGGGAAACCAAGCATCTGGAATAGTGGTACCACAGTTTGGTAATCATTGCCCTCTGAAAATTGATAAGGGATATCAGGTTATTGTTTTCATTTTAGCATAAGGGACAATTCTTAAACAGCATATTGCACCTGTTCATTTGGTACAAAAAATAGTACAGTGTTCACTAAACAATGTGAAGAGAACACAACTTGCTTAAATCATTTTGACATCTATAAACTATTAAAGTAAATTTTATTTACAGAAAGTATTAAGAGTCAGGACAGCAATAGATTGATGATATTGGCCCATGACTAGGGAGAAGGCCATTTGGCAGGGTTTTGTAGTCACTGCAGAGGTGGAACACAAGGAAGAATAAATTTTGAAAGGAAGAAAAATAAATACTGACAATTATCTTCACTTACAATCACAACAGTAATAGATTGTTTTGATAGATTCTGAACTGAACATGAAAGGTAGCCCTTAAAATTCAGACCCAGAACCCCCCAGAATATACTCAGATCTATGTAGATGCGGAGCCTTACAAGCTAAGATTGTAAACGGACCATTTCTGCTAAGTCAAAAGAGGCTAAGGTTTGCACGAGAGCTCTCTTTTTCTATATACAAAAATACCTTGAGCATGCTGTTGTGCTTTAAGTGGAGTCCATTAAAAGCAGCAACATACTTCAGGAAATATGCAATCTTGTGTCTCTGTTCATGTCAGTCTTGTTATGTGTATGGAATTTTCTGCTCTATAATGAAGGTATGTTTGTTACCTATGGGAGCTGAAGTCAGGTAATGGTGTAGTTGTGTGAACCTAAAATATGGGCAAAAGGAAAGATGGCTTTTTGCCTGTAGGAATCCACTATAACACAAAGTTAAAGAAATATATGAACTAAAGTGATAAGCAGGACAGTGGAGGACAACCTGATTTTGCAGAGAGTGCTGCAGTGTGGCCATAAAGTTAGTGCAGGCTAATAGTAGGAGTACAGTTGTTACCCGGCACTTCACTGGTTTGCCAAAGTCTCCCCGTACACAGCCAGTGATGGGAATGCCAAACTAAAAACCTCATTTGCAATCTAAGAATAGCATTTAAACCCATAACCGCTCACTCTGATTTGACTATTCCCCCATATTCTGCTCCTTTTCTACCTCATGATATTGAGAAGGGAGAAGACACGTAACGGAGTTAACACATGTTTTTGCTCAGTGAAGACGACTATGTCTAAGGTTTAACCTTGCCTGCCCCCCGCCCCAGCCTGTGCTTACCCTTGTGCTGGAGTGCAGCAACCTTGCTCATCCTGACACAGCTTGCAAATACTTGCAAGATTAAGGCTTGAGTGACAGACTTAGCCATTGCAACAATTGTATCCCTCCTGCACATGCTTCCCTGCTT